TACTCATGACACAGAAAGGAAAAATAGCAACCCCTTACAAGAGTGAAAAACCTGTAACTGGTATTTGTTTTACACTCGTGTAAGAGGACCAGAGACAATATACAAACTTGGATACTTTATAAAACATGAGCGCCACTAAAGGAGATATATTAACAGGTGTGTGTGTGTGTGTGTGTCCTCTAATATTTCCCTATCACATACACCAAAAAAATCATTGTATTCGGTTGTAGTAGTCAGGTATAAACACCACCTGTCACCCACGACCCTTCCATATAACCTCTGAGTCTCCCGTAATAAGGTTGTTAAGACCTATATTAGCCACCAGAAGGACCTAACGACCACAGGTTAAAGGGGCACTCTGCTGATGCCTTTGTAACTTGTACCTGGAAAGTCCAGCTCTTCTCTATCTTGTACTTGTCGCATTCTCTCCTGTCTGCTGTCTTTTATCACTGTTTCATCATCCCTTTAATCTGCTTCCTCGCATAAAGCAAGCAGACGTTACAAGTATGAAAACGGCCTCATTCCCTTTACACATTCTATATGGTGAGTCAATCATCTATTTTTTAAAGAAATTCCTCTATCTTTTAAAGCAGGTAGCCTATTATATCCTTTAGAGTAAGTAAATCATTCTTTCCTTTAGAGCGAGTAGACACTACTTTTAGAATGAGCAGACCAGACCTTTAAAATTACCCGTTCTATTCTTTAAAGTAATTATCCCACTCAGTCCTTTAGAGTGAGTAAATCCCTCTCCTCTAAGACAGGAAGCTCCTCCTTCCTTTAAAGTGACTAGAGAAAAGTTCATTCGTTTAAAGTGAGTAAATTCACCCCCCCCCCTCCCTGCATCTTTCACAGTCACCTTTATCCTAAAAAGTAAATTATCAATGCTAACTTAGTGAGTAATCCTCCCTAACCCTTAATGTACGTCGTAGCATTAAACTTTAGGTAGGTTTAAAAATAAGATGAATAAATGAAAATAAATTGTATAAAATACCGACACAATGGAAAAATAAACACAGGAGCAGTATAATGTGATCCTTTATTGACAACGTTTCGCCCACACAGTGGACTTTATCAAGTCACAAACATATCTGTTTGTGACTTGATAAAATCCACTGTGTGGGCGAAACGTTGTCAATAAAGTATCACATTATACTGCTTCTGTGTTTATTTTTCCAAGATGGATAAATACATGAGCGAGATTGGTCGAATTTGAATGAGATCTGTAGAGCTCAGGTTCTGGGTGACTTTTGTAATAGGTTCGACAAATTTTTGACTTGACTGTAGGCTGGTTTTGAAAAGAGCCGGTCATGTATGGTCAGAAGGCCCATTGTACTGTTCTTACCTTTTTATGTTATGTTATTATATTATCTTTAAAGTAAGCCTCTCTATTCTTAAGAGAAAACCCAGTCTCCTTTTGTAAGTAGTGAACTCTATCTCTCTCTCTCTCTCTCTCTCTCTCTCTCTCTTGTAGATAACTCACTCTTAATGGAAAAGAGTTAGACCTCTTGTACCCTTTGCTAAAAGAAAACTAACTTACCCTCGCAAAGCAAGAACTTGCTCATACTCTGATAAAGATAAAACTCGTGCAGCCTTATTAAGATAGATCTAACTCCCTCCTGTGTAAAACGCAGTTCTAAAAAATAAATGTGTCTCGCTATCCGGCGCTGCCAGAAAAACGTCGAAAGCACAACGAGGTAAATAATGTATTTTTTTTTCAGTAGCCGAGCATAAAAAAATGAATATGCCCAGATTTACATGTACCATATTGGAGTAACTGATTTTTCCCCACTCAAAATTCAACAGTTTAGAGTCTCGTGTGTGACAGGGAGACTGTCAAGTTAAGAGACTCATAGAGAACGGACGCAGGTCCTCTTGCAAATGTGATGTTTGTGGTACGAAAAGGAAAACAGACAAAAATGGTAATTGGATTTTTAATAGTGTCTACAATGTTGTCATCGTACTTACTGGGAAAACATCGAAGCTGAAGCAGTGGTGGAAATATTTTCATGTTGTTTTTCTTTGACCGAACTGGTGTGTGTCTCTTGTTTAATGAGAGAGAGAGAGAGAGAGAGAGAGAGAGAGAGAGAGAGAGAGAGAGAGAAGATATACTCACGTATGAACAAGCAAACTCTTTACTACAATACAGGCATTTGTCTCTCTCTCTCTCTCTCTCTCTCTCTCTCTCTCTCTCTCTCACTCTCCCCTCTCTCTCTCTCTCTCGACTACCCCCTCCTCTCCATTGTCATTTCACTTTTTTCTAACCCAAGACAAGCTTGAAAACTTTTCTTTATAATTCTAACGTCTGGAGATAATGAGATCTTAGTCTGTTGGCGTTTTTGTTCTCTCGTGTAGATGAAGAGTTAATTGGCTATTTAGCATAGTAAAGAGGAGATCGACTCTTGAGATAAACGTTGCTTAGCGTATTAACATCTTACTTAAATTTCTTATATGCCAGAGATCCTATTTTAATTACAATATTTATGATTTTCTGGAAACAAAC